TTTATCGATCGGGTCGTGCTGGGGTGTGGTCGTGCTGGGGTGTGGTCGTGCTGGGGTGTGGTCGTGCTGGGGTGTGGTCGTGCTGGGGTGTGGTCGTGCTGGGGAGTGGTCGTGCTGGGGGGTGGTCGTGCGGGGGTGGTCGTGCTCGGGGGGTCAATAAAAACATGATGGACCCACGAACCCGGAAAGGGATATAGACATGTGGAGCATGGACACGTTTTCATGATACCCAACTGGGCAACACCTCACGAAACATCCCACGAGACACCTCACGAAACAGCCCACGAGACACCTCACGAAACATTCCACGAGACACCTCACGAAACATTTCACGAGACACCCCGCGAAACATTCCACGAGACACCCCACGAAACATTCCACGACGACAGGCAACCACTCAACCAAGGCGGTGTGGTCGTGCTGGGGAGTGGTCGTGCTGGGGTGTGGTCGTGCTGGGGTGGTCGTGCTGGGGGGTGGTCGTGCTGGGGGGGTGGTCGTGCTGGGGGGTGGTCGTGCTGGGGCGTGGTCGTGCTGGGGCGTGGTCGTGCTGGGGCGTGGTCGTGCTGGGGCGTGGTCGTGCTGGGGCGTGGTCGTGCTGGGGTGTGGTCGTGCTGTGGTAAGGTCGTGCTGGGGTGCGGTCGTGCTGGGGTGTGGTCTTGCTGGGGTGGGGTCGTGCTGGGGTGTGATCGTGCTGGGGTGGGGTCGTGCTGGGGTGTGGTCGTGCTGGGGTGTGGTCGTGCTAGGGTGGGGTCGTGCTGGGGTGGGGTCGTGCTGGGGAGTGGTCGTGCTGGGGTGTGGTCGTGCTGGGGTGTGGTCATGCTGGGGCGTGGTCGTGCTGGGGTGGGGTCGTGCTGGGGTGGGGTCGTGCTGGGGTGGGTTCGTGCTGGGGTGCTCCGCACCCTGTGATTTATCGATGGGGTGTGGTCGTGCTGGGGTGTGGTCGTGCTGGGGTGTGTCGTGCTGGGGTGTGGTCGTGCTGGGGTGTGGTCGTGCTGGGGAGTGGTCGTGCTGGGGTGTGGTCGTGCTGGGGGGTGGTCGTGCTGGGGGTGGTCGTGCTGGGGGGGTGGTCGTGCTGGGGGGTGGTCGTGCTGGGGCGTGGTCGTGCTGGGGCGTGGTCGTGCTGGGGCGTGGTCGTGCTGGGGTGTGGTCGTGCTGTGGTGAGGTCGTGCTGGGGTGTGGTCGTGCTGGGGTGTGGTCTTGCTGGGGTAGGGTCGTGCTGGGGTCGGGTCGTGCTGGGGTGTGGTCGTGCTGGGGTATGGTCGTGCTGGGGTGGGGTCGTGCTGGGGTCTGGTCGTGCTGGGGTGTGGTCGTGCTGGGGTATGGTCGTGCTAGGGTGGGGTCGTGCATTTCGCTCGAGACATCCTGCCAAAATTCCAGGAAATCGTACAAAAACAAAGGAATTAGTCGAGACATCATCGAAATTCCTTCGCGCGGGGCGCTTTTCCGCGTCGCGGTCGGCTCTGCAAAACAAGCGTTTCGCTCGAGACATCCTCGGCAAACTCTGCGGAGCAAGCGTTTCGCTCGAGACATCCTCAACACACGAAAAAGTGGCCCGCACCCTGTGATTTATCGATCGGGATTTCAAAAACAAGCGTTTCGCTCGAGACATCCTCAAATTTTAATCCGCCGGCCTCCTTCGACCTCGATATTTATCAGGGAAAAAATCCGCCGGCCTCCTTCAAGTTGGCACCGGGGGATTAGGTTTACCAACTAAAAGAGAACCCTGGGCTCGAGCCCTTTCCGGGAAATAATTGACGCGCCACTTCGGCGCGTCATTTATCATCACGATCATCACCAAAGCATCGTCATGATCTCCATCACGAACTTTACCCGCATTCGAGCATCGTCGGCGTTAGACTACTTATCGATACCCATGCTCATATTTTCTTTAGCTGGGTGTTGATCCCCCCCAGCCATGCAATGGGGTCACATATTTGGGCCTCCGAGGAAAATCGTCGTCGTCGTCCTTTTCCTCCTCCTCTCCCCTTTCCTATCGTCCTTATCCTCCTCCTCCTCGTCCTTATCTTTATATTGATCCCTCCCCCTTCATCCTCCTCCTTATCCTCCCCTCTTCCTCCTCCCTCCTTCTCCATGTTGTTGCAGGCTCAGGAAGGCGGGCCCCTGAGGCACGGAAGGATGCAATGACCTTGCAAAGAAGCAAGGGCCTTACAGCGCTAGGTTAGCGGTAGTGGCGGCAGCCTTCAACGAATATGCGGTAGAGGCGGCAGCCTTCGTGATAAAATAACATGTTTCCCTGGTGCGAACACTGCACGTGAGCAACTCGTCATCGATCGTCGCACTGGGATTCAGAAAGAAAGACGAACCACTTGTGAATGCACGTCTCTGGCAATCTGGTTGGGTGGCAAGAAACACCTGATTGTTTTATCAATCGTTGCAAGTCTTCATCTCCATATGTCCACCCAACCCTTGGGTTCAAAGTGGGCGACTGGCACATATGTTGGAATATATGGAATTTGGGCACCATCTTCCAGGCACGTATATTTGAATTGATAGCCTCAAGTGAAAGGGCAGCATACATGCTCAAAAGGTTTTTTGCAAGTTGTGGTAGCTCGCGCTTTACCCGTTCAGACAGGAAGCGGCCTTCGGTTTCAACTATATCATAGAATCTGACCAAACATTGCATAATGCCCAAACGCCGCCTGTCATGGATGTTTGGCGTACCAAATTCTTCGCACAGCAGCAGCGCAAAACGAGAGATGTGTCGCGTGTTGGCCGCCTTGGCCTTCAATTTAGGCCAGTCTCCTTTCGTCTTGATGCGCTCGAACGTCAGCTCTCCGTCTATTTTGTGCTTTGTCTGTGATCCATACGCTTTCAATCTGGCCTGAAGGCTAGCGAGTTTTTCCGCCCAGTTGGATCCTTCCAGATTGGTTCTCATTATCTCGATAAAGACATTTGCAATGCAGTGCGACGCGAGCCCTTGGTCAACCGCATGCAATACATCTGGTTGCACCCCTTCCAGCCTGAGCGTTTTTATGGAGAACGCGGGAGGCAAAGCCTTGCCTTGGCCAACCAAGATATGTTTGAACGTCTCATGCGATCTCACTGTGGGTCTCCAGCCCGCTTCGGGTCTGAAATCAGTCCATCGTAGGCCTGGCACGCTGTTAGATGCGTTGCAAAACAAACACATGTTTGGCTCTGCCCCCCACTGGGGTGCACCGACCGTTTCAGGATCAGCGGCGAACTCCCAATCAGCGCGGAAATGTATGCATGCAGCTCTCCACTCGCCCCCAACCCTGCGACCTGCCTCAGGATGGGGCCGGCCTTTCCAGTCGAGCGCTGGGATACACCCATCGCATAAAGCATTCATACTCCATGACAATCTCCGCCACAGGGATGCTAAAGTTCCAGAAATCATATCTGAAGATTTGACAACGCAGAAGATTTGATGTGTATCCTTGGTGGGACCCGAAGCCAACAAGCTCGTCCAAGCAATCGTGAACAGTGATTGCGTCTTTGTTGTTGCAGCTTTGTCGCCGTGCACGCCCAAGGGAATCGACCTCCGAGTGTCAACCATATCTCGTATGCCTGTAAATACAACATCTCTGCGCATGCCTTCCCAAAATTGTATGATTTCGTTGTCGTCCCCCCTGAGAACTCGATTGAATTTGCTTGTATCTTCAAGAATTGACTCAAACATTTGTATTGGGCAAATGATCCGGTATGGCGTGCAGGGCCCTTGTGCAGTTGGTATGTCAATCCACTCAAGTTTGGGGAATCCGATTGGCCACCCAACGGCCCTGGAGAAATCTCTGTGAGCGTGACGGAGATCAGAAACGCGAGAAAGTTTGCCTATGTCCTTGGCCCCTTGGGCTGAAGCTTTTGAACAATACTCCTGCGCAACGTTTGCAGGAAGTTTCCCGCGGCCCCAGTCTCTTTTCACGGCGGAGCTGAAAGGGGTGCGTTTATTCCCAGAAGTTAATGATTCAGCGTGGGCCGCTACAACTCGTTTCTTCGCGCCTCCAGCCGACGACGAGGAAGCAGCAGGAGTTACATCATGATTGGCCTCCTCAATTCGCCTTTTGATCCCTCCTCTGCGAAGAGACATGCATCGAACGCATAACAGAAGTGCGACCGCGAAGTGCAACTTCATTATGAAATCAGGCTGAGCCCAAATGGCTACGGACCGTCGTTTCGATGTTGGGAATGACAGCTGCCCCAACAGACGCGACGCTCGCAGGACCTTCGAGTTTGAAAAGCCCTCATTCTCCTCCTCCCCCTCCTCCTCTTCCCTCCCTCCCTCTCAACGCGGCTAGGCCACACCGGTGGCTCAGGCCGAGGCGTCGAGATCAGACTCTGGTTGTGATATCCTCCGGAGACGTAGACGCTCTTGCGACGACGTCGACGGCGGCGCTCCACTCCTCCGGAAACGATAGCGACAACAGAGGGGATGATGGTTATGATGATGTTGACGGTGGCGATGATGACGATGATGATGATGGTGATGATGATGAGAATGACGACGATGATGATGATGATGCCCAGTTAAGTGACATCCCGCTTGGTGCCCTTTTTGGCCTCTCGGCCGACTACAAAAGGGCACCAGGGCCAACCAGGACGATGATGATGATGATGATGATGTTGACGATGATGACCATGGTGATGATGGTGCTGTTAGGTGTTCGTGCGGTGGACGATGGCCATCTTGATTGCGCCGATGTTTTTTGTGTTTTTTTTGTCATCTGGTATCAAATGCCTCCCCATCGGCGCCTTGGAACGTTTCTGCCATGCATGCGCTAGCGAGGGCCCGTGACCAGTAGCCTGCTACTAAATCAAACAAGGAGTGTTATCTCCTCACAAACCGTCAGCAGCAAGCCCTCGTGAACAAGTTAGGCCGAACGCAAGATAACAACTCGCAGATAGTAAATTCGACGTCGTCATGGCGATAATGACTGTCAGGAATCCTGTCGGGCGCCTTCCCGCTCCTTGCTGGTCTGATCGCCAGCGTGAATGGCACAGCGGCAGCTCATGCCTCGAATCACCTACAACTTCCTGACCTTCTTCGCCTTGGGAGGGGCGCCCGAGATCCTAGTGTACCACTCGTTGAGGTCGTTGAACTGTGTGAACAGGGGGTCCAGCTTCTGCGCCATCGCCAAGATGTGGTCGTCCTGCATGTTGCTCTGCACAATCATACCCTCCATGATCCCATGGACCTGTTTCACCTTCGGGATGAGCTTCTGCGCGTCCTCGTGCACTGCCGTGGCGTACTTGTTGTTTTTGCACTCGGTCCAGATCTTCTTGAGGTCGGTCAGCATGCTGGCTGTGGTCGAGCAGACCTTCCGCGGGTCCTTCTTGAAGGCGTCCACCGTGTGTTGGAACTCGCCAAACTCAGACTTGATCGTGACGGGCGGCACGCTTGCCTCAGGCCCTGGCGCGACGGCTCCGCCTGAAGCTGAAGACCCCGCTGTATTAGCAACGATCGAGTCGAAGTGATCTTTCGCCTCCTTCGCCGCCTGCTCGGTATCGAGCGCCTGCTCGTTGCTCAAGTCCTTCTTGTCGTCGTGGTACTCGCTCTCGCCGCCCTTCGAGAAGAACACTTTATATTCTCGGTCGAATTCACCATCTAACTTTGTGTCTGGATCAGGCCTGTGGTTGAGAGTATTTGAGTCGATCTTACTCTGCGCTTTCCGCGCTCCAAGGCGAGCGATCATCGTTTCCTTAGACATCCACTCGAAGTCCTCCTCCTTCTTTTTCAAGGTGCCAGCTGTGCGAATCGTAGAAAGTTTGTTCTGGCCCTCGAGCTTCACCAGTTTGTCAGCGAACCACTGCGTGAGGAAGGCCTTCTTTTCTTCGGTCCCCTTGGCCGAGTAGGCGTCCTTGGCCCCAACAGAGTCCAACCAATACCTGCATATGAAAACCCATAGTGAAGTAAGACAGCCCCCCCTAACGTGAATACCATAAGGTTACGAAATAGAAAATCGATGCAGCTACTGGCACAAAACCCCGTGCGAGAACGCGGGCGTAGACCTCCCCCCGACATAGAAGACACTGCCAAACCGCAGAAATGCAAAAGCAGTCTTGGGTCCACTCCAGGTCACGAGAGATTGGAGCGCTGACGCTTCAGCTCCTCCTCGTTGCTGAGAAGTTGCTTCGCCCTCTCGAGGTCTTGTGCTGCGATGCTGTACGCAGGCAGGGGGGCCTTAACGGGAGCCGCCCCCTTCCTCTTCTTAGGCGCCATGATTGCTGCCAAGACTGCGGCTGGATACTTCGGGCAACCCATTCATTCGCACCTTCCCCAGCCCCACATTGCCATATCACCACATCACCCCCTACGAAACCACTGTTTCTGCAAACGCACCTAGGCCCGAACGGCCAAGACTGGACCGGCACACCGGCGCATGCAAAAAAAACAGAAAAAAAAACAGAAAAAAAACAGAAAAAAAACAGAATCTGTTTTTTGGTATTCTGTACATATATATATATATATATATACAAAATCCTCAGAAAAACAGAATCTGTTTTTTCTGTCTTTTTCTGTTTTTTTCTGTTTTTGTCTTGTTCTGTATGTCGCATTCTGCGTTTCTGGTGTATTATGTCATTTTGAGTTCGATTCTGCTCATCTGATTTCCTCTTGTTTGCATGTTTCTGTATTTCGTTATTTGATCGCTTACGTGGTGATTGGTTGGGGGTTGGCTTAGGCCGAGGTTGGGACGAAGGTCGGGGTGCTCGAAGGATCCTTCAGGCAACCTCGAGTTTTGCCACTTACAGGAACCTGGAGCCGAATTGCCTCTGGAGGAAGAGGAGGTGGATCGGAGCTCGGGGAATTCAGTCCTACAGCGACTGGGAACCAAAATATGATGCTCATGTCTCCGACGTGCTCGGGGCTTCAGGGTCGCCATGCCCCTCCCTCCCAACCAGGTGTTTTTTCCTGTCCGAACCTCGGGGGCCAAAACTGATAATCTTATGAAATGCGTCCGCAGAGCTAGCAATATATACAACCGCGACTGCTAGCATGCGTGAACCTTGAGACGGAGAACACGTAGCACTCAGGAGACCAGGGAATCCTGGGGAATGTCGCTGTCGCCCTCCTCGTCGCTCTCCTGGTCGGCATCCGCAGGCTTCTCGAGGGTGGCGTCCGCGGGCGCGCCCTCGACCTTCAACGACTTCTTTGCTGGAATCTTGCTCTCATCGCTGGGGTGGCGCTTCAAAGGAGAACTCGCGGGCTCGATCAAGAAGTTTGCGTGGGGCCGCAACGACTCGTACTTCTCGAGCAGGCCCTGTGCATGGCTGATCATCGGCTTCGGCTCGACGTGCTCTTCGGGAGGGGGCCCATTGAGAACCATAGTAATGGAGGAGATCAGCATGGAAGCTTCGGTTGCGAGCTGCTCAATGTCGAGACTGAGCTTCTCAACGTAACGAGGTTTGTCGATGCTGGCCAACTTGTGCATCCACGCGCCGACGACGGTCATCATGGTGTCGAGCCCATCCTTAGCCGTCACCAACTCATCGTGGTACTCGGTGTGGTCTGCTCCGTATTCCTCCTGGGAGTCAACACTCACGGCCTGCGACGCCATCGCAAGATCTCCTGCAAACCAGAATGGGCCTTCTTGAGCCGAGATGCTACGGACGCCTGACAATGGAACCTAATGAAGAGGAAGCGTCTTCAACCTGGGCCCATTGAAGCCACACGATTGCCTCCTGAAGGGATGCCGTAGATGGTATGTTCCAAGGGCTAATACTACATGCGATTGAACTCACAATAACACAGGCAACGCTCCCATTAGATAACGTATGTCGTTGTACGCGTGTAGAGTGTCCATGCACATACGCAGTCGCCGCTCAGCGGGGTGAAATCTAACATAAGATGCTTACGCCTACATCGTGTCACCATCTGTGTCCGATCGTGAAGCCTTCACGTCTCTCGGGTACGAGCACTCACGCAGATGATGGTGAGGATGGGTACGCTCGCGATGGTAGCAATACTGGTAGTCAAGGTGGTAACCGTGGTGCCACAGTTCCACAGAATGATGATGCTGATGCTGATGTTGATGATGATGATGATGGTGATGATGATGATGCCCAGTTAGGTGACATCCCGCTTGGTGCCCTTTTTGGCCTCCGGGCCGACTACAAAAGGGCACCAGGGCCAACCAGGATGATGATGATGATGATGTTGATGTTGATGACCATGGTGATGATGGTAATGTTAGGTATTCGTGCGGTGGACGATGGCCATCTTGATTGCGCCGATGTTTTTTGCTGTTTGTCATCTGGTATCAAATGCCTCCCCATCGGCGCTTTGGAACGTTTCTGCCATGCATGCGCTAGCGAGGGCCCGTGACCAGTAGCCTGCTACTACATCAAAACAACTTCTCACCCGCAGCAATCCGAGCCTTCAATGCCTTGACGTGGGACCTCGCCTTGTTGCCCGCCATCTGCTTGGCCTGGGCGGATGTTTTGGAGATGCCAATGCTAGCAAGCCGTGACTTCTCCCCGTGCCACACCTTCGAGTGCTCCTTGTTGAGGAACTTCTCCAATGGAGATTTCCTGCGCTTGCTCTTCATCGGCCTCTTGTTGCCCTTGATGGTCTTCATTGGCTGCGTGCGATTGGCCGTGCTCTTGGGAGTGCCGACCGCCACCGCTCTGGAGCCGTCCAGCGTGACTTCTTTCCTTTTCAGCTTCGCTTGGAACTCTCTCCATGCCTTTGCCGACATGCCCTGAGCATTATCGTCGCCAAGCATGTCCATCTCCTTCGCGCTCAAGGGGCCAACGACTGCGGCGCCCTTCACCTCGACGATCGCGGGGCCGTAGGTGGTCTTCCCCCGAAGCCGCCGCAGAGGCTCGTCGCGGAGAAGGCGACGAAGGGTGGGGTCTTCAGACTCATACAAACCAGGATCTGGGATGTCCTCCGCCTCCGAGTCGGAGACCTCCACGACGATGGGGGCAGGCGCGTTCGGCTCGACGATCTCCACGTCGCCCTCCGTGCCGCCAGTGCCCTCGGACGTCGAAGTAGTTGCTTTGACGACCAATTTGTCCCATATAGTCTGGAACTTAGATTTCCACATCTCTGGCACGTGCCTGTCGATCTTGCTCTTGTGGTTGGCGATCTGGGAGATGATCGCCCTGTAACGGTACGCCGCCGTCTCCAATGCGGAGACGTCGTAGGTCTGTCCAGAATCCGCTGCCCATTTTTTGAAACCGTTGAACATGTTCAACTGAACCAAATTGTAACCCCCACTGGCCTCGAGCAACATGTTGATTGATGCCGCGTATTTTGCTGCTTTTTCCCAATTTGGAGCTCGCTTAAAATCGATTGTGTGTCCGTACGGGAAAAAATTGCTGGGTTGCATTGCCGCAGATGGTACCACATCCAAGGCCTCCTTGATTTTGTCCAAATCTATTCTCGCTGCTGGCCTCCGCCCTGCAGTCTCTCCCGGAACAACAGCAAGCATTTTGCTTGGGTGGTTTGTCGGCGCGGCTCGGACGCTGGAGAAAGTCTTGAACCACAATTGCTGCGGTCCGCCCCAACCATCCGAACGACGGGAAACCCGAAAATTCATGACTCCCCAATGGCCTGCCATAATTCCCCCCCCCCGAGGGCCCTCTCATAATTTCAGGAGGCCCCCGACCCATCGGTCGTTGAGGTTTGCCTTCGGTGGAGCTCCCCACGGCGGCTCGAATCAAATCTTTTGAACGGCTGCTCGGGCCAAATCTTTTGAACGGTGGCTCGAATCAAATCTTTTGAACGGCTGCTCGACGTACATATTTTGAACCGCCCGCCCCTGGACTTCCTACGGGGTCACGAAACGCATGAGGGGTGCGCCGAGATGGAGGGTGGGCGTGCACGCAGGCCCTGGCACTGGGGCCTTCGGTGGAGCTCCTTACGGGGCCACGAAACGTGCGGGGGGTGCGCCGAGATAGGGGTGGGCCCTGCCACTGGGGCCTTCGGTGGAGCGCCCTATGGGGCCACGAGGCGTGTGAGGGCGTTCCGAGATGGGGGTGGCACTGCATGATGACCCTCCCACTGGGGCCTTCGGTGGAGCTCCGCAGTGGGCCACACATCGTGTGGGCGGTGTGCCGAAGTGTGAGTGCGCGCGCGCGCGTGTGTGTGTGTGTGTGTGCGTGTGTGTGTGTGTGTGTGCGTGTGTGTGTGTGTGCGTGTGCGTGTTTGTGGTGGTGGGGTGGGGGGGGGGGGGGGGGGGGGGGGGGGGGGGCGGTGGCGGCGGAGTTGTGTGTGTTGTGCCTGTGTGCGTGCGTGTGCGCGCGTGCGTGCGAGATGTGTGTGTGTGTGTGTGTGAGAGAGGTGTGTGTGTGTGTGTGTGTGTGTGCGTGGAGGGGCGGGGTGGGGTGGGGCGTAATCGTGCGTGCGTGTTTTCCTTATAATTATTATTTTTCTTGGGGGGGGGGGCGGTGATGGTGGCGATCGTTGTGGTGGTGGTGTTTGTGTGTGTGTGTGTGTGTTTTGTGCGCGCGCGTGTGTGTGTGTGTGTGTGCGTGTGTGTGTGTGCGTGTGTGGGCTACCATTGCCACGGAAAGAGAATAAAGGCACTGCCACAAGGGATGTTTCAGGGGCCGCCCCTGGAACATCCCTGGTGGTGGTGGTTGTGTGTGTGGTCTGTGTGTGTGTGGTGTGTGTGTGTGTGCGCGCGTGTGTGTGTGTGTGTGTGTGGTGTGTGTGTGTGTGTGTGCGCGCGTGTTTGTGTGTGCGTGCGTGTGTTCGTCTGTGGGCTATCATTGCCACGGAAAGAGAATAAAGGAACTGCCACAAAGGATGTTTCAGGGGCCGCCCCTGAAACATCCCTGGTGGTGGTGCTGTGTGTGTGTGTGTGTGTGTGTGTGTGCGAGTGTGTGCGTGCGTGCGTGTGCGCGCGTGCGTGTGGTGTGCGTGTGTGTGTGTGTGTGTGTGTGTGTGTGTTTGGGGCGCGGGAAGGGGGGGGGGGGGAGGGGGGAAGGGGGGGGGGGGGGGAGGGGGGGGGGGGGGGAAGGGGGGGGGGGGCATGTTGCAGATGTGTCTTGCGCAATATCGGTCAACCATGATCCTTTTTAGGCCATATCATGTCAATGTCAGACGCATGAGAGCACGATCTTTCGGTTCACCGCGCGAACGCGGCATGTCTGACAACCGTGAGGATTGAATTTGACAGTTCGTCGGTTGCGTTTGGATTAACCTGGAACAAGCGCTCGAGGCGTCAATTCCTTGTTTGCGCACCGAAAGTAAATATTTTGGTGTTGCGCGACTTTTTTCTGGGTTATGTTGCATCGATTTTGGTCGCGTTCGACGATTATCTTAAGAAATGTGCCGAATATTTTAATGTCGGCGCGAGTTTAAAGACGCCGCCCTTGTTTTCTGGTCATGTAGGGAGGTCGGGGAAATTTACCACACTAGAGAACCCTGGGCCCCCGCCCTTTCCGGGAAAGACAACATGGTAAAACACAGCGTGTTGGCCTTCCAGAAGCAGAAAACGCTGCGTTTTTCAAGGTTTTGCTATCGTCCGATGCGTAAGACCTTGTAAACCATAGCGTTGTGGCTCTCCAGACGCTCAAGGAATTGTGTTTTACAAGGTTTTACTGCCTTCTGATGCTGAAAACATTGAACATGATCGACCCACGAACCCGGAAAGGAATGTAAAACTGTAACACATGGCAGCGTTTTCAAAGACACCTGATTGGGTGACGGGCAAATGCAATACTGAAGGTATCGATCTTGATGTACCCTGCCGAGGGCTGTGCTGTGCTGCGCCGTGCTGAATTGCGATGTGCCATGGCGCGACTGTGCTCTATAGCCTCGTGGATCGAGTCCTCCTTTGCATCCGAGTCCTGACCGAACTGATCTGGATCTTAAGCTCGAGCTGCCTGAACACATAGTAGCTGCCCCAGAGCTAATGGACAGGGGAACATGCCAGGAGGACGCGCCGCGAAACGTCCCAAGGGATGCGCCAGGCGACGTGCCAGGGGACGTGCCATGGGGTCGCACCGCGGGACGTGCCAAGGGGACGCGCTACGGAACGTGCCAATGGATGTGCCACGGGATGTGCCAGGGGACGCGCGACGCGACGTGCCAGGGGGACTCGCCAAAGGACGCCCCACGGAACGTGCCAAGGAACGTGCCAAGTTGCAATGCTGAGTGCATCGACCTTGATGTACCGTGCCGAAATCAGTGCTGTGCTGCGCCGTGCTGAATTGCGATGTGCCATGGCGCGATTGTGCTCTATAGCCTCGTGGATCGAGTCCTCCTTTGCATCCGAGTCCTGACCGAACTGATCTGGATCTTAAGCTCGAGCTGCCTGAACACATAGTAGCTGCCCCAGAGCTAATGGACAGGGGAACATGCCAGGAGGACGCGACGCAGAACGTCTCAAGGGACGCGCCAAGCGACGTGCCAAGGGACGTGCCATGGGGACGCACCGCGGGACCTGCCAAGGGGACGCGCTACGGAACGTGCTGGGGACAAGCGTTTCGCTCGAGACATCCTGTCAAAATCATTTGAATTCCTACGCGCGGGACGCTGCACGCGCGAGACATCCTCGGAATTCCTGCGAGCGGGACGTGAAAACAAGCATTTCGCCTGAGACATCCTTTGAATTCTGGCCCCCCACGAGGCCACCGCTCGAGACATCCTCCAATTTTGCAAAACCAGCGTTTCGCTCGAGACATCCTCAACAAATTATGAAAAACAAGCGTTTCGCTCGAGACATCCTGTCAAAATCCCAAGAAA